TAAACATGGTAGGCTTTTAATGTCAATTTTAAAATGTTGTTCTACGTGCAAAGTAAAAGTATACACTGACAGCTGATTTAGAAGGATTTGATTCATGTCACTGTTAGTCTTATCCTTTTTTGAAGCCACTGCTTGAATTCTCATAATTCATAATACAACTTCCAGTTAATATCAACAATGGCACACATTTTAATAAAGGTCCAAGACTTTTTTTCATTTTGAAGTCCTGTTATTCCATCGGGTATATAGCCTACTAATATTATTTGTTGAGCACTGGGCCAGGGTACAAGTAAAGCAAATTGTTGAGGAGTAGATTTTATTCAAAATGTATTTATTGCACACAGATCATGCACTTAGTGAGACATTTGTTGAAACCCCAAAGGACAAATTCTGTTCACAAGAGCTCAGCAGCAAATGCTACAAGTCTGTTTACTGTTTTATACGTCAAATAAGAGAAAATCAACCAAGGACTTTTAAATCATACTCTGTATGGTCAGCACTGGTAATGCAAAGATGTAATGCATATGCTACATTTTTCAGTTATAAAATAAGAAGGTAGTTAAGTTTTATTTAGGTAATATTATTGTCATACCCGTGGGAATGCCAAAATTGGTCAGCCAATTCATCAGTTGCTCAGTTACCATCAGTTGGTAATGAAAGTGGGATGATTACCGCAACCACCAGACTGCAATTCTTCCCTCATCCCAGCTAAGTCTAGCAGTAACAACGCCCCTTGCTCAGTCATTGAGTCTTTTCTCATGTCTCTGCTTTTCTTGTTGCTTGTTATAGTTTTCCCCCTGGTTTTCGCCTCTTTATTTCATCTTGAACATTTGATGAATCCCCCCTGTGTTACATTCACTGATACTGAATTCTCTCTGCTGGATGAGCTGAATGCCTATCACGCTCGGTTTGAGAAGAAAATCATGGAACTGCCAGCACGAGTGCTCCCAGCCTCTAATGGTTTGACTGTGTCTGTCATGGGAGCTGAAGTCAGAGCAACTTTGTAGGTGATCATACGGAAGGTGACTGACCCAGATGGGGTTCCTGGATGGGCCCATAAGTCCAGTGCAGATCAATTGGACACAGTTTGTATGGATATTTTTAATCTTTCACTTTCACAATCTTCAGTTTCCATTTGTTTTAAGAAAAACACTATTATGTCAGTGCCGAATAAAAATACTGCGACATGTTTTAATGATTGCAGATCGATAGAGCTTAAATCTACTGTAATGAAAGGCTTTGGGAGGGTGGGTCATGAATCTTATTAACTCTATGGTATCTGAGTACATAGACCCACTGCAGTTTCATGCTGGAGTAACAGATCCCCTGATTTTCTTGGTTCTTCACACTGCTTTTGCTCATTTGGGTGATAAAGACATACGTCAGAATGCTATTCCTTGATTACAGCTCTGGCTTTAATACTGTAGTTCCATTCAGACTAATCACCAAGCTTAATGAAATGGGTATTGGTACATCTCTTTGCAGCTTGATACTGACTTTCCTGACTGGCAGACTGCAGCCTTTTTTCCCACTGACCAGTTGATATAGGTGACCCTCACAGCTGCATGCTTAGCCCTCTGTTGTTTTCCTTGTTTACCCACAGTTATATGGCCAGACACAGCTCCAACTCTATCTGCCATTATGCTGACAATACTACCATCATTGGCCAAGTCACCAGTAATGATGAGATGGCCTATAGGGGTGAGGTCATTAATCTGGTGGAGTGGTGCCTTGACATTAATTTTTCCCTCATTTTTAGCAAAACCAGAGCTGGTTGTCAAATTAAGAAACCAGAGTGGGGATCAATCCCTACTCACATCAATGGGATGGCTGTAGAGGTGGTTAGCAGCTTCAGTTCCCTGTGTACCTACTGTACATCATTAAGGATTTAATGTGGTCCAAGCATGTAACTGAAACTAAAAAGTAGCTGCAACAGTGCCTTTACAACCTCAGACAGCTGAAAAAAATCTATCTTCAAATATTCTTGTTGCATTTTACAGGTGCACTATTGAAAGTGTGCTCACATGTTGTATTAGTGTGGTTTGGCTTTTGCTCGATGTCCGACCGAAAGGTGTTACAGGGAGAGATCAGGTCATCCCAGGCCATTATTTGAGTCCATTATTTCCTCTCTATTTTTACAACTTGCTATCTCAAGAAGGCTGGGAATATTGCTAAGGATAGCAATCGTCCTGGTTTCTCACTTTTCTTTCCCTTGCCCTCTGGTAAGTATTAAAGGAATATACTGTAAAGGCATGTACCTCCAGATTCAGAGACAGCTTCTATCCACAACCTGTCCGAGTATTGTATTCCACCTCTACCACTGATTTACACTGATATTTTTCCACACTTATTGTGCTGAGTTTTATTTAAGTTGAGTGTTATTGAACTTTTTTGTTGCTGCTGGTGTTTCCTTAATGTCTTTGTATAGAAGCATATGTAGCTGAGCTAGTTCGGATACGGTGATGTCATCGCCCTCACTGCGCGTAGCAGGGACCTCAGCTGCCTGGGCTGAGGGAGGTCTCCTTTAGCTCACGCAACTGGTTCCCTGTTGAGTTACGCCGGAGACCCGGGTTCGCGCCCCAGGTGCTGCGGGACGGAATGGGTGGCAGAGGGCACGAGCCCGCGCGGAACCGTGACGGTCACACATACATGCAAATAACCATTTAATTGCACTTGGAAATAAATAATAAACTAAACTCTAAATATGGACAGTAAAAATATTTTGCCAGGTCTTCTGCAGCAGTACAAACAAGTCCCAAATTGCTATATCATAGATAGGAATTGTGGTGAAGGTGCTAGCTTTTAAAAGTCAGTTCAATGCTTACACTGCCATAGAGTTCTAAACAAATGTGAGGTACAGTAATTGTTTCCTAAATAAGCTACAAATGTTGCTACAGCCATTATCTTTCTAGGCCAGACAAAGCTCGATATCTGAGATCTTACCAGATCAAGTTGCAGATTTGACTGCCTTTTAAGGTTGCATCAGAAATAGTATGGGATGTCACAAGAGATCACCAATGATCACACCAGCAATATAACTGAATAATTGAAAATAATTTCCATATGGAGAAGATCTCACATGAAATTAAAAGTACTGCACACAGTTGTCCCTCTTGTTGGTAATTATGTGTATTATAAAAGACTATTGCCTGACATGAAAGAAAGGAAAAGTTAACAGGCAGCTTAGCTGTACCATTGTTTATAAAAAAAATTCCAGAATTAATTTGCAGTTAGCAAAAGTGAATGCTCCTGAGAAGGGAAATGTCTGTAGCTGGTATTATTCACTCAGAATGTTTTATTTAGCTCCCTTTTAGGATAGTTGATTTTGCCTTCTACAAGAAGCTACAGCTCTGAGGGAAACAACTCACTCCCACTCAGGATGAGATGATAACATTTAGTGTTCTTGTCAGACATCTGTGAAACAATGCTCATTTCAGAAAAATAGAGAGGTGGGCGAGGATTACTACTCCTTTTGTCAACTTAATCCAGGCCAGTAACTGTAAAGGTTCAGCAAGATACGTAAAACATTGAAAACAGTTTCCTGTATGTATATAAAGCTGCTGGTAATAAAACCCTTTTCTCTTTTAAAAACTGTAATACATAAAAATACTAGTTTGTTGAAAGCCTTATTAAGAGGTTGGTTTTGATCTATTGTATATCATTAAGTGGCAGAGTATATTACAAGTAATTTGGCCTGTTTAACCTAACAGTGCTGCCTTTTCCCCTTTTTTTAAGCAACATTAGATAACATTTCTCACCACAAAAGGCTTACATTGCACAAACATTATCACCTACATGTTAATTGGATTGTTAGCTCCAAGATGACTCATACATTATTATATTCTTTCATATTTTATTTCTGTAGTAGTGAAAAGGTTTTTTCCTAACTAACTGAACTGAAAAGACAACAATCTGAACTCATTAGTAATATGGTGGCTTTGCATAAAGAATGTAGATTTTCAGGGTATAAAATTATATTTTATAGTGCTGCTAATGTAGATAAATGTAGCACCATTACTGCCATACAAAAGACTTAGATGTTTTGCATTGTTCTATTTTTTTCACTCAATATTTTCCTTCTTTAGGCAGAAATGGGAAAAAAAACCTGGCAAATATCTCCAAAAAACTTTCTTTTAAGAAGATCTGCATGTTGTTCAGAAAGTAACCTTCTTGATTTAGGGATGTGTAGAGAACAACAAATTATGTTTATGACAAGGAACACCTGGCAATGAGTCAATCAGATTTGGTTATTAAATGTGATGGATTAGGCCATATAATGATTCAAATATGCTGGTCATATATAGTTACCTTAAATTGAGATCAAATTAACTTAATATTCTGATAAAAAAATTTAAAAAATGCTAAATGACCATTTTGGTTTCTTCTCACCTTTGCTAAATCTTATTAATATCAGTCAATGTTGTTATAATAGAAGAAAACTTACGTAGGGACTGAGTAATTTGTTGATGATAACATGTATACAGTATATTGTAACTTTTTCACACTAATGTTTATTGGGACATCTTAGCAAATGCAAAATGTTGTATTTTGTAGGGGCTTCTGTTAATATGATTATTTTAAAGATGTTTGCACAAGATGGTGTCTCTAGCTTTTCTGCTCAGTATTAAGTGTTTTTTGTAATTACTATTATATATACTGACACTTTTTGTTGTAGTACTGTGTTAGAGCCTTTCTTAGACTACCTCATCACAGGAAATCTCTAGCAAAGGATACATTCTATCTAGAATATATTTCCACAAGATGTTGGTGCGTGTGAGCTGCAATCATTATCACCCTTTCAAGGAAACTGGCTTGTGAGAGTAATTATTTGTTTTAATTCCTAATTTGCTTTGAATAACAAAGATCTCAGTTTCCTAAAATCTGTCATCTGTAAAAACTGCATATTTCATATTTTAAAGTGTGACATAAGATTAGCGTAGAGAATGTTTCAGCAGACATAGTGCAATGGTCAAGATCACAGAAATGCAATTCAAAGAGCAACTAAAATTTGGACAGCTATTGTGCAGAAGTCTTATTCATGAAAATTTAAATTTCAAAAGCTTTCAGCTGTCATTGATATACTGTTCAATTATCATGGCCTTATGGTTTGAAATTGCCTAATAAATTCAATTGGGTCAGCTCTTGTTAATAATAGATCTTTCATTCAAAATCAATAGAAAATCTCGTAAGTCAATGGGGCTTGCATATTTCTTTGTCAGAATTGAATAAATGTTAGCACATGCTGTATTTCAAACTGTTCGTACACAATCTGAAAGCATCTAACTGAAGTGGTTTCTTTTCATGTTAAATTTGTAGAATTTGCATAGTTGACAGCAAACCCCATGATTTTTTCATGACATATTTACACTGGAGGGGTTCTTAAAAGATTTGGCAGCATGTCTTCTTTTCCACCTTCTGTAATTCTGTATCACATACAATTGTGTAAGTTATGAACCTACTTTTTATTCTGAGTTACTAAAGTATTATTTACCATGCACAGAATAGTATACTCAATAAAGGTCACGTCTATAAGCATTGAAGATTAAAATCACCATAGATTCACAACAATCTAATCTGTGCTTGTAATAAAATAATACTTGCAATAATATTAACTTCATGTGATTGTAATATTGTTTTGGTACCAATATATTTTCAAAGTAAACAATACAAATAAATGTCATAAGTAACTCCAAACTGATTTTCAAATATACTATATTTCAGTAGTTTTGAGATTTTTTTTAGTAGTTTTGAGATTTAATTTTTCAGATTAAATATGGGAAAGTCGCTTAAAACTATTATTACTGAATTATGAATATGAATTCCTTATAGTATAAGATATAAAAGAGCTCTTTGTACAGTATAATGATACAAATGAATGTGTATGCAAATTAGTAGTAAACAGTGGGCTCATAGTGCATTTGTGGCAGTAGTAGTGCTATTTAGCATAGTTTTCTTTTTTATTTAGCTCGCTGTACAACAAACTTAATTCTACATATAATTTTACAGGTAGTAGAAACACCATGGTAAATTAAGGACTCCAAGTAAATTGAAAGCAAAGGGATCAGCACAGGTGTGACTAATGCATTTAATTAGCCAATAAAATTCCAGCATGCTTAGGGTCATAAAAATGCTGGACCTATCTGGTCGCCTATGATTCTGGCTACCATGACAGCAAGAGGAGACATTGTTGACTTTGACAGATGATTATTGGGGTAGGAACTACAGTGACCAAGTTGGGTCAGCTTGCTGATGATTCACAGGCAGTGGTGTCTAAAGTGATGTTAGTCTGGATCTCCAAAGGAAAGAAATGTTCAGCAAAGGGCAACAGGGGGTGGAAGCAAATACCCAAGGACCCTGATATCTGTGCATTAATACAAAGTACAAAGGAAAACAGTTGAGCAACTGCAGAGAAGACTGCAAATTTCAACAAAAAGCAGCCAGTTTCAGCACAAGCTGGGACACTCGACAGAGCAGGATACCATACTTGGGCTCAAACCACCCATCACACTGGTAAAACAAGCCCAGTGGAGCAAAGATCACAGGCAGTGGACTACTGAGTAGTGAAGAAAGGTGATATGGTCAGATAAATCATCCTTCCCCATGTTCTCAACAAATGGATGAGTACACTTGAGGTGGCTAAAGAACACTGCAACCCTGACTGTTTGATTTCAACAGTGAAGAGTTTTATTGGTTCCGTAATGTTGTGGGGCACATTTTTCTGCCATGTTTTGGGCGCATTCATCCACTTAAAAGCAAAGTCAGTGCTACTTAAAGGTTAAAGTAAGGTTATCATCTGCATTCCATGTTGCAAGATTTCTCTTATTCAAGAAGGGATGTCTTCCAGATGACTATGCCCCCATCCACAGAACGTGTATAGTCACCCAGTAGTTTGATGAGCACGACACTGATGTTATTCATATGTCACAGGCTTCTCAATCACCAGATCTGAACCCAATCCAGCATTTATGAGATAATATGTAATGACATCTGAGAAAGTGTTTTCCACCTCCATCAACCAGATGTGAGTTAATTGACTTTCTTTTGGAAGAATGATGTTGCATTCATAATGTGATATTCGAGACACTGGTGGATTCTATGCTTCTGTGCATACAGGGCTAAACTGGTCGCAACAGTTTCACAACAAGCCCAGTGGTGGCTTACAGCCTTCAGTTGCCCCAGGAGACTGTGACGTTGCCATGAGTAAACACAGCCTTGATTGGTCTTTTGGTCCAACCTCCTCCCTACCAATCAGGCACCCAGTCATGAGATTCATCCTCATTTGTATTCCAGAAACGGCACTAAGGAAACCCTCCGCCACTGAATTACCAGTGGTAGCATAGCTCTCTGCACAAATCCCATGGGTCATACCGATTTAGTATTAAAATACCGATTTAGTATATTTTAATTGAGATAGTGTATCCGGGATAAAGCAAAACTTGAAGGGTTGATGGCAAAATAACATTATTTTCTTTTTTTGTAGGAAGTCATTGAGGCAATTGCTGAGTGTGCATTCAAGACTTCACCATATCCAGTTATTCTTTCTTTTGAAAACCATGTGGATTCGTAAGTAGTTGAAGTTATCGATTGCTTGCCCAAAAGTGCACTTAACCTGTTGCTTTGTCAAAAAACAAGTTACTTTGTTCAACTGAATAGCTATTATAAAATATTGTAAAGATAATTGACTATACCATTCACAAGTCGTTGATACTACAATAATTCTTTTGAGAAGACTACTTATAATATATAATATCAGGATCCTCTAGCCATGATGGAGAGGACAAGAGGTAGATGGGAAGTGTCTTTAGAGGAAATGAATAATTATTAATTATTATAAGTTATTGATGCTTATGGTGGTTCCACATTTTACTGAATCATGGGATGCACTTTATAGTATATATTAAGGAAGCTAATATATAGAATATACTATAACGTATTCTATATGTGATATGTAATGTCCCAAAATATATTCTATATATTATAACATATATATAAAAGAATATGGTCCAGATGTACTGTAGGTCTCTGAAATGCCTTTTCTCTAAACATATCATGTTTGTGTGTTGTATGTTTATGTTGTATGTAGTGTAGTACAGTATGTGTATGGTCATTGTTAATAAATATTTGTCTCACCAAGTGTGCCTATACCAACCACTTGGTATTTTGAAAAACAAATTTCAAAATATTTTAGAAAAGTTTGGATTTTCTCCATTTCTGTAACCCCCTATTTGTAACAATATTAATAATACTAATAATAAACAAATAAGATCATACTGTATACGGCAAGAATGGCCTTCCAGATGTACTTCAGTTATACTTTATATGTCTGGATATGTGTGTGTGTTCTGTGTCTTTAAAATGTAGAGTAGTGATTAGGACTCCAAACTGTAACTGTAAGATCCTAGGCTGAAATCTTAAATAGGACATGGCTATTGCACCCTTGAGAGAAGCACTTCAATAAGTGAGTGCAAATAAATATATTTTTTAATGGACAGTCAATATACTGTATATACATAGACTAAATATAGAGCATGTGAAAGGAAAGTACACCCAGACATAAACAATCACTTTACTGAATTTTCTTGAATTGAATCATTCAGATTGGAAGTAACATGTTGACCTCAGCTGTTCCCACATTGTTTCTAAGGTGCCATTAATCTGTGCATCTCTCACATCCCAGCACATTTGAGAAGGGTTTGCTATTGTAAAGTGACTGGTGACTACAATCTTCATGAATTTGAAGAAGAATGACTCTTTAAAATAAAATGTGCTTATCATTGCACCATGCATTAGTTAGAGCCATCATAAATACTGTACATATTGTATGTGTTGGTTTATAATGCAGTCAGTATAAAGTGAATGACAGATTTACATCTCATCTAGGACTGCACCTTAAATACTGTAAGGAATGGAAATGAGATCCTTCATTAAATAGTAATACCTTCTGTCTGTTGCTGATAATTTCCAATAAAGCACAAATCATTAATTATATTTCGTTTTCTTTTTCAGACCAAAGCAGCAAGCCAAAATGGCAGAGTATTGCAAATCAATATTTGGTGATGCCTTGCTAACTGAACCACTTGAGAAGTACCCAGTAAGTAAACAAAATTGCAACTCTTTTAAATTGGCTACAAACAGGCACAGTGCTTTTCATTTGTCTGTTGTTCTTTGGCCAAACAAACAAAGATATTTGAGAACATGTAGGAAAAATGATTGCCCTAGTATTTGTTTGATGAAATGAGCAAAACAGCGATTTAACCACTATTCTTGGAAGTCATACAATATGTATGTGAGGGGACACAATTCATAGCAAGTATCACATGTAATCATTGATACAGACTGCACGAAAACATTACTGAATGAAACAGATATTTGTTCTAGGTTTGGAATTTTCATTTATCTTAAAGTTTTATTTTTTGGCAAGCCTTAATCTTTATAAGTTTGCATGGCTTATACTTGAAAGGCCTGCATTGTTTTCTGTAGAAGGTATTTGATCAGCCATCTTTTTAATTATCTTTCTGAGTTTCTTTTAAGGAGTCTGTTATACTTCAGGGCACATGGCCATTCAGTAAAATAAATGATGTAATATATGTTAATACTTATTCTTACATTGCACAGAACTGCCTACAGAACGCACTCCTGTATATTTTGTGCTGTTTCTGTTGGACAACAGATAATCATACAGTTGTAAGCAGTACATTATCTTCAGAATACTAAGTGTGTATATATACTGTGCCCAGAACATCTGAACATGATAGTTATGGTAAATTCATAAACATTATTAATTTTATCTTTCTGATTTACATATTGAATATCAATAATAGCAATTATAGCTTTATTTTAGCTCATATGGTGGTTAGTTCTTGAAGGAAGGCAAGGTGTCAGCTTCAACAACATGACAGTGCAACTTGTTCCATTCTCTCACAAC